TTCCCACATTTATTACAAGATTTCCACCATGTAATAAATTCTCTGATGTTATATTGTGTGATTTTAGCAGAGTTTTCCAACATTCATTCCATTCATAAGGTTTCTCCCCCATGTGAATTCTGATGTTTTATGAGGTGTTACTTATGGATAAAGGCTTTTCCATATGCATTATATCCGAAGTGTTTCCCCCATATGAATTAGATGTGCAATGAGGGCTGAATTATGGGAAAAGCTTTCCAAGTCATTATGTCCAAGGTTTCTCTTCCTGTGCATTTCTGATGCATTCTGAGATGTGACTTATTGCCAAGGGCTTTTCTACAGTCATTGCATTCATAAAGGTCTCTCCTGGCGTGAATTCTGTGGTGTGATATGAGCTATGATTATAACATATGATATAGGCTTTTCCACACTTATTAGATTCACAAGGTTTCTGCCCTGTGTGAACGTTTTGATATGAGTATAACTTATACAAAAAGGCTTTTCCACAGTCATTACATTTATGAGGTTTCTCCCCTGTGTGAATTCGCTGTGTATGATGAGGTGACTTTGTCCAAAGGCTTTTCCACAGTCATTACATTTATGAGGTTTCTCCCTGTGTGAATTTGCTGGTGATGATGAGGTGTTTTGTCCAAAGGCTTTTCCACAGTCATTACATTATGAGGTTTCCCCTGTGTGAATTGCTGATGTTTCCTGAGGCCTGACTTGTGTCCAAAGGCTTTTCCACAGTCATTACATTTATGAGGTTTCTCCCCTGTGTGAATTTCTGGTGTATGATGAGGTGTGACTTTGTCCAAAGGCTTTTCCACAGTCATTACATTTATGAGGTTTCTCCCCTGTGTGAATTCGCTGGTGTATGATGAGGTCTGCTTTCGTCCAAAGGCTTTTCCACAGTCATTACATTTATGAGGTTTCTCCCTGTGTGAATTGCTGTGTGAGAGGCTGATTTGTCCAAAGGCTTTTCCACAGTCATTACATTTATGAGGTTTCTCCCCTGTGTGAATTCGCTGGTGTATGATGAGGTTGACTTTGTCCAAAGGCTTTTCCACAGTCATTACATTTATGAGGTTTCTCCCCTGTGTGAATTCGCTGGTGTATGATAGGGTGACTTTGTCCAAAGGCTTTTCCACAGTCATTACATTTATGAGGTTTCTCCCCTGTGTGAATTGTGGGTTGAGAGGCTGTTTGTCCAAAGGCTTTTCCACAGTCATTACATTTATGAGGTTTCTCCCCTGTGTGAATTCGCTGATGTTATGAGGTGACTTTTGTCCAAAGGCTTTTCCACAGTCATTACATTTATGAGGTTTCTCCCTGTGTGAATTCGCTGGTGTATGATGAGGTTGACTTGTCCAAAGGCTTTTCCACAGTCATTACATTTATGAGGTTTCTCCCCTGTGTGAATTCGCTGTGTATGAGGAGGGTGACTTCGTCCAAAGGCTTTTCCACAGTCATTACATTTATGAGGTTTCTCCCCTGTGTGAATTCTGGTGTATATGAGGTCTGACTTCCACAAAAGCCTTTTCCACATTCAAGGCATTTATAAAGTTTCTCTCTGTGTGAATTCGCTGATGGTTTATGAGGTATGACTTTGTGTAAAGGCTTTCTACAGTCACTACATTCATGAGGTTTCTCCCCTGTGTGAATTTGCTGATGTTTCCTGAGGACTGAATTTTGTCTAAAGGCTTTTCCACAGTCATTACATTCAGAAGGTGAATTAAAACTGAGTGATTTTCCACAAGGTTTACATGTGTAAAGTTTTTCCCTTGTATTTAGTTCTGGTTTATTGCAAGATGTGACTGGTGAATGACAGGTTCAACATACATAATGTACTTATAAAATTTCTTTCTTGTGTGAGTTTGTTGATGCATATTGAGGCTAGAATTTTCATGGATAGCTTTTTCTATTTGCGTTGCTTTTCCAAAAGTGACAGTTGACTTATTACAGTTTTCTGCCATATGAACCCTCTCAGATTTACAGAACATCTTTCTTGTGAAGACTTTTGCTTGTCCAGTGGGTCCAAATGGCTGCTTCATGATGTGAATATTGTCAAGCTGGCTAAGAGGCTCACAGAACTGGAGAGATTTTCCAGGTATCTTAGTGTTATCAAATTTCTCTCCAGCCTGTAGTTGATCAGGCCCACTGGGGGGATACACAGTGTGACATTTATTGCATTCCTCAGGCTTCAATCCTGAATAGATTCCCTTTTTAATAATCAGTGTTGGAACATGGCTTGAATTTAAACTAAGTGTTTTCTTAATTCAATTCTCTTGAGAGCTGATGTCTTGTTATTTTTCATAAAATCCTGATTCAGATTTTTGTCCTGACTTTCCTGGTTGATCCTAATCAGGTCATCCCTTTTCATGACCACTGAAATGAGAAAAAAGCAATCATGTCACTGAATCACATGTAACTGTTTCTCCTGGCATACTCATGTAAAGGGAATGAAGTTACTTGTTATCCAAGTGGCATAAGATGTTCACAAAATCAGTATGAGGTACTTATTTGTGACCATTATATGGTTTTTCTCCTTAATACATTAATATACCATGAGGTTTCCCAATGTTCAAACATGATCCTTTTTACTATGGGAATTTGTCAAGGATGGTAGAATGACTTTTGTGCTATGATGTGTGGGATGCCTGCATCTCAAAACAGTGTCAGTTTGAGCCCTGGCTACTCTGCTTTCAGTACAGCTCTCTGCCTATGTAAACTGGAAGGAAGCAGATAATGGTTCATGTGCCTGGGAACCTGTGAGAAACCAGGGAAGACTAGAGGGATTCTAGAGTTTTGGCTTCAGACTAGTTAGACCTAAGTGTTGCAGGCATCTGGGAAGTGAGCTAATAGAGGACCTCTTTCTCTCTCTCTTCTCTCACTATCACTCTGCCTTTCAAAGATGAAATAACTATAAAATATTTTAAAGAATGGGCAAATATTTAATAAAAATATTCACCCACTACCTAGCAACCATTTTTTCCCTGTCCTTTTTTCCAGTTTATTTTTATAAAAATTGTGTGCTTTTTGCTTCTCTGATATCTCAACCATAAACATGAAAAAGTTTTACTGATCATTTACTTGCAGGTGGAGAAGAGTGAAATGTGCCTGTACTTTAAGCAGGACAACATTTAAGGAGTAGGATTTGAATCTATGAGTGTCTCATGCTCAGTCTTCCTAGGTAAACATCATTTGTGGGATTTTTCAAATGAAAAACTACTTTGTCTCTACTCTATGACAGCTTCCCCAAATTCCTAAGGACACCCAACACCTTCAGCTTCTCAGAAGTACAACAGGTACAGAAAATTCCCAATATACCACTTTAGTTAAACACTCCCAATCAGTTTGAAGAATTTGTTTCTGCAAACCGGGATTGCTCATCTTCTTTGAAAAGTGTTTCTAACTCATTCTGAAATCATCAGTGCTGGTTACCTCCTCTAAATTCTTTCTAGAAACATTCCTGTGTGATAATTTGAATTTCTGGAGGCATTTGATCAGTTGCCTCCTATTTTCACTGAAAGCTTCATTTCCTATGTTTTTCTTACTTTTTATTTGCTTATTTTCAATGATACTGAAAATAAGAGAAAATCATACTTCAAACTCCACCCTTAAAGAAATCTGAGCCACTCAACATAACCCCACGAGGCTACTTGACCTTGGGTCTCAAAATCTCATTACTTTCTTGGTGAGTCTAGGATCACTTATTTTCATGTTTTATAAGTTCTTATGCTTAGTTTAGGATTTCTTTTTTCAAAGATTTACTTTATTTATTTGAAATCTTGAATTATAGACAGACATAGAGACAGAGAGAAGTCTTCCATCTACTGGTTCACTCCCCATATTGACACAACAACCAATGCTGGGCCAAGATGAAGTTAGCAGCCAGGAGTGTCTTTCTTGTCTCCCACATGGATACAGGGGGCCAAGTACTTGGGCCAACCTCTTCCCATTTCTCAGGTGCATTAGCAGAGAGCTGCATTAGAAGGGACCACCTGGGACTTGAACTGGCACCCATATGCAATGCTAGTGTTGCAGGCTGGAGCTTTAACACACTGCACCACAGTGTCATTCCTAGCTTCATAATTTCTGATGTCACAGCACAGAGGCTTACTCATGACCATCTTTTTTTTTAAAGATTTATTTATTTGAAAGTCAGAGTTACACAGAGAGAGGAGAGGCAAAGAGAGTAAGGTCTTCCAACCAATGGTTCACTCCCCAGTTGGCCACAATGGCCAGAACTGTGCTGATCTGAAGCCAGGAGCCAGGAGCTGCTTCTGGGTCTCCCTCAGGTGCAGGGGACCAAGGACTTGGACCATCTCTACTGCTTTCCCAGGCCATAGCCAAGAGCTAGATCAGAAGTGGAGCAACTGGGTCCCAAACTGGTGCCCATATGGGATGCTGGTGCTTCAGGCTAGGGTGTTAATTCACTGCGCCACAGCACCAGCCACATGACCATTTTAGCATTTCTTATTTACTTACTTGAGAGTCAGAGAGACAGAATGAGAGATAAAGACAGACTGAAACAGAGGTTTGCCAACTGTAGGCTCACTCCTCAAATGTTTCCAACAGACTATAATTTTTATTTATTTGAGAGGCACAGAGGAAAAAAAAGAAAGAGACTAAGAAAGAGAGAGTTCACATTTATTGATTCAGTCCTGAGCAAGTTCTATGCCTGGGCAAAATCATGAGTGGGAACGCAATCTGAGCAATGAGTTAGAAATAAGTTTCTGGGGGCTGGCATTGTGGCATAGCAGGTAAAGCCACCACCTGCAGTGCCAACATCACTTATGGGCACCAGTTTAAGTCCTAGCTGCTCCACTTCTGATCCAGCACTCTGCTATGGCCTGGGAAAGCAGTAGAAGATGGCCCAAGTCCTTGGACCCCTGTACTCATATGGGAGACCTGGAAGAAGCTCCTGGCTCCTAGCTTCAGATCAGTACAGCTCCAGCCACGACAGCCAATTGGGAAGTGAACCAGTGGATGGAAGACCTCTTTTCTCTCTGCTCTCCTTCTTCTCTCTCTCTGACTTTCAAATAAATAAATAAATCTTAAAAAAAAAAAAAAAAACAGAAACAGGCTGCCGTGGCGGCTCAATAGGCTAATCCTCTGCCTGCGGCACTGGCACACCAGGTTCTAGTCCTGGTCGGGGTGCTGGATTTTGTCCCAGTTGCCCCTCTTCCAGGCCAGATCTCTGCTGTGGCCCAGGAGTGCAGTGGAGGATGGCCCAGGTCCTTGGGCCCTGCACCACATGGGAGACCAGGAGAAGCACCTGGCTCCTGGCTTTGGATCAGCAGGTGTGCCAGCCACAGCACACGGCCATGGTGGCCATTGGAGGGTGAACCAATGGCAAAAGGAAGACCTTTCTCTCTGTCTCTTTCTCTCACTGTCCACTCTGCCTGTCAAAAAAAAAAAAATTAATCTTAAAAAAAAAAGTTTCTGTATGTTGCCTAATTAACAAGCACTGAAGGAACTAATAAGTGCATGAAGGAAAAGGTATGAAAGTGTAGAGAAGGACAAGTTAGAATTGGGGAATGTATCAAACCTAGATAAAAGCCTTAGTAACATCAGAAAATGACTGGATTTTTTTTTTAATCAAAGAACATCTTCACTAAGAACAAAAGTTAGAAAGATATTGGTATCTCTAAATGCCTGTGTCTGATGCACAAAAGCAGCTGTCATCAGGAGTAAGGCTTGAGAAAATTCATGGAAAGAACACCAGTCAACATCTGCACACTTTCTGCCTTGGCCTCCCTGTCTTATGTGCAGACTGACCTGAAAGGCTCAGATTCAAGCATTCATCCACCATCCATGGCTCTTCTCCTCGCTCCAACTTGAAGATCAAGTCAGGTTTGGTAATGCAGTGCCCTATTAATGGAAACAAAGTAAGACTTTGTAAAATCACTATCTTGGGTTATTTAAAGGACTACAGCTTGGTTCAGGAGCTATGCAACAAATGTTCCAATTTGAATCTTTTGTTAGATGGTAGATATTCAGATTATTCATGGACTCAATTCTAATCCTGCCCAATATTAAACATTATAAAGTGTTCCCTTATTTGTCAAATAGCAAGAAAATGTTATCACTGGGCATGTGATGGGTGTCACTCACCCAAGGAGAACAGGCTGCTGTAGGTCTCCAGCATCACATCTCTGTACAGGATTTTCTGAGCATTGTTCATTTTCTGCCATTCTTCCCATGTAAAGTACACAGCCAGGTCTTCAAATGCTGTCATCACCTATAATAATACACTTCCAGTCAACATGTTAACTCTGTCACAAAATAAACACTGACAGTTGTGTATGGATATGAAGGAAAAAAGGAAGGATATGGTTTCACATTAGACTTGTGGAGTGTTTAGAAAGCCACACGGAGCATTCAACAGAGTCAAACCCATGATCTACAGGCTGTGAGACATGCCCAAGCTGGAGGGAAACAGGAGGTTCAAATCACAAAGGCCACATCTGTCAAGGGGAATTGCACAGCAGGCTAGAAGAGGGGCAATACTGACTCTTGACTGGGCAATGTTAAGGAGAAGTATGTAGAAGCATTGAGAAAAAAGGCAAGAAACCATCAGTGAAACTACGATGGGAATGAACAGAAAACAATTTCCAGGAAAACACCATGCATATCATTTCCAATATGTCAGAGGAAAAATATATTAAAAGACAGGGCAGACATTTAGCTTAGTGTTGTTTATGATGCCACCTCAGAGTGTCTGTGATTTCCAATGCCAGCTCTAGTTTCTAGCTCCCAGATAATGCAAACCTGGGGAAGCAATGGTGATGTCACCAATGAAGGAGGCCTAGATTCCATTCCTCAATCCTGGCTTCAGTCCTGCCCCACCTGTTTGGTATGGTTATCTAGGAAGTGAATTAATGTGTCAAAGCTCTCTATCTCTCAGTCCATCAACTTTTTTCTCTATCAAGCTAATAAATATTTTTAAGTAAGAGAGAAAATACAGGTAAGACAAAGAATACAAATTAGCTTTTGCCCTTGTCTATGATTATTCTAGTGATAAACAATTGAAATAACATTATACCTAATTAAAGTGAAAGCAATGGAAATACTTGCCCAAAACATTCAAATGATAAACATTTGAAATGACATTATACATAATTAAATGAAAGCAATGGAATTATTTGCCCAAAAAGAGAACCTGGGAATGTCTGCAGTACAATCTGCATTTGTGACTCACTGAGAAAAATGCTTAGAGATTTGTTTCAGAACCTGCAATAGTCACCAGAATTGTGATCCAGCAGGCTAAGCCTCCACCATCAATGCTGGCATCCCATGTAAACAGAGGACTTGAGTCCTTGCTGCTCCACTTCCAATCTAGTTCCCTGCTAACCTGATTGAAAGAGCAGTGAAAATGGCCTGAGAGTATTCAATGTGGGAGACCCATGGAGTCCCAGGCTCCTGGCTTTGGCCTGGCCCAGTCCCAGCCATTGTGGGCATTTGGGGAATGAAACAGTAGATAGAATATATCACCTTTTGTCTCCCTGTCTCTCCCAATCTCTGCAAGTCCACCTTTCAAATAAATAATCTTAAAAAAATAAATGAGCCTCCAGTAGATTCTTTTCTCCACACATTCCTTATCCTATTCCAGAATCCAATTCAACTTCTCAAAGGTATTAAGAACTCCATTACTCTAACAATTTGAAAACAAACTTAACTGATTTGTGTTCCAGCACTAGGTAACTCTTCCTCTTGCAGAATGCTAAGTGTTTACTTCATAGGTAGCACTAAAACACTGTTCAGTACATCATCTATGTGTAGAATGTTTCAGACATGACCCCAAAAATGTAGCATATTGTGCTTAGTTTCAACTCAATTCATGTAACAAATATATATTTGCTATAGCAACAGAAAGACAAGAGACCAAACTGCATTATTATAGATGACAGTAATGTTTCATAATCATGCCAAATTCATAATTCATTTCTGTATATTCTGTGATAACAAATTTTATGTTTATTTTTCTATTTTAAAATTTTGTAAAGATTTATTTATTTATTTGAAAGTCAGAGATACACAGAGAGAGGAGAGGCAGAGAGAGAGAGAGGTCTTCCATCTGCTGGTTCAGTCCCCAGTTGGCTGCAATGGCTGGAACTGCACCAATCTGAAGCCAGGAACCAGGAGCTTCTTCTGGGTCTCCCACATGGGTGCAGGGGCCCAAGGACCTGGGCCATCTTCCACTGCTTTCCCAGGCCATAGTAGAGAGCTGGAGCAGAAGTGGAGCAGCCGGGTCTCAAACCGGTGCCTATATGGGAAGTCGATGCTTTAGACCAGGGCATTAACCCACTGAGCCACAGAGCCAGCCCCATATTTTCCATTTTAATTAACTAGTATACTGGGACTGGCACTGTGGCTAGCAGGTAAAGCACTGCCTTCAGTGCTGGCATCCCATATTGGTGCCAGTTCAAGTCCCAGTGGCTTCACTTCCAATCCAGCTCTATGCTATGGCCTGGGGATTCAGTAGGAGATGGCCTAAGTCCTTGGGCCCCTGAACCATGTGGGAGACCCAGAAGAAGCTCTTCACTTCTAGCTTTGGACCAGTGCAACTTCGGCCATTGTGGCAAACTGGGGAGTGCACCAGCAGATGGAAGACTCTCTCTCTCCCCCTCTGCCTCTCTGTAACTCTGACTTTCAAATAATAAAAAAAAATCTAAAAAAATAAATATAAACTAGCATTAAACACCTAAAATGAGTACTGACAAGCTGGGGAATAATTAAAAAAAAAAAACACTTACAGGTGATATATTAATTTTCTTTCCTCTTAGAAACATGTGGAGGACCCAGAATCATACCTGGGAGAGAAGGTGAATGGCAGGAGTTCAAAGAAAACTCGGGAGGCCAACGCTGTGGCATAATGGGTAAAGCTGCTGCCTTCAGTGCCAGCATTCCATATGGGGTCTGGTTCAAGTCCTGCCTGCTCAACATACAATCTAGCTTTCTGCTATGTCCTGAGAAAGCAGTGGAACATGATCCAAGTCCCTGGGCCACTGCACCTGCATGGGAGACCCAGAAGCTCTTGGGTCTTGGCTTTGGATCGGCTGAGCTCTGGCCTTTGCAGTAATTTGGAGGGTGAGCCAGCAGATAGAAGACTCTCTCTGCAACTCTTTCAATAAATAAATGAAATCTTAAAAAAAAAAAAACCCTCTGGTTTCCTTCTGCACTGAACAGTGGGGAAAAAAGGATATAATAGAATGAATAAAGAATAATAAATACATTAACCAAGAAAACATCAGCTTCACTGTGGAGGAATAAACCTCTAAAAATAGAAATACATAGGAAAATGCACCTATATTAAGTGGCAGAGATTAAACAGAAGTTATCATTGGTTTAACGAAAGCATTATCTACAAATTTTGTAAAATAATAATGTAAAAGAAAAAGAAAAGTTGAGTGTTCAAATGAATAAGGTTATCAGAGATAAACATGTTGTTATTAAAGTTTATACTAAAGAAAGTTAACAAATACACATAATGTATATTTAATGCAGTGCACTTTACCAGTAATGATTCCAAGTAGCACCTTTCCCTGTATTCATCCCTTCACAAAACCCTGGATTGGGGCTGGCACTGTGGCCTAGCGGGTAAAACTGCCACCTGCAGACTGGCATCCCATATAGGCACTGGTTTGATTCCCAGCTGCCCCACTTCTGATCCAGCTTTCTGCTATGGCCTGGGAAAGCAGTAGAAGATGGCCCAAGTCCTTGGGCCCCTGTACCCATGTGGAAGACCCAGAAGAATCTCCTGGACCTGGCTTTGGATTGGCACAACTCTGGCCATTGCAGCCAACTGGGGAGTGAACCAGCAGATGGAGAGAGCTCTCTATCTCTCTCTGCCTCCCCTCTCTGTGTGTAACTCTTTCAAATGAATAAATAAATCTTTTTGAAAAAGACCTGAATTTCACCATTTCAATTGATTTACCCCATGAGATACCAGTAAATGTGATAGAAATAGACAATTTGTTAAAATATTTATTTATATGAAAGAGTTACACAAAGAGAGAAGGAGAGGCAGAGAAAAAGAGAGAGAGGAGAGAGAGAGGAGAATAAAGAGAGGTCTTCAAACTGCAGGTTCACTCCCCAGATGGCTGCAATGGCTGGAGCTGTGTAGATCCAAAGATATGAACCAGGAGCTTCTTTCAGGTCTCCCACAAGGGAGCAGGGCCAAAGGACTTGGGCCATCTTCTACTGTTTTCCCAGGCTGTAGCAAAGAGCTGGATCAGAAGTGGAGCAGCGAGTCATGAACTGACACCCATATGAGATGCTGGCACTGCAGGCGTGTCTTTACTTGCTATGTCACAGAACCAGCCCCAGAAATAGACAATTTGTAAAGTATTTGCCTTCTCAGATTTTCTTTTCTGACAGTTATCTTCTGAAAAACCCTGGGGCCTGCCTGTTGAAGAGATAGTATGTAGGCTGGCGGTGGCTCACTAGGTTAATCCTCTGCCCGTGGCACTGGTATTCCGGGTGACAGTCTCAGTTGGGGTGCTGGTTCTGACCCAGTTGCTCCTATTCCACTCCAGTTCTCGGCTGTGGCCTGGGAAGGCAGTGGAGGATGGCCCAAGTGCTTGGGCCCTGCACCCACATGGGAGACCAGGAGGAAGTGCCTGTCTCCTAGCTTTGGATCAGCACAGCATACTGGCCATAGCAGCCATTTGGGGGGGTGAACCAATGGAAGGAAGGCATTTCTCTCTGTCTCTCTCTCTCACTAACTCTGCCTGTCAAAAAAGAAAAAAAGAGATAATATGTAGCCAAGATTCACCACAAACCCCAGACACTTAAGTGAAGCCTCAATCAGTTCCCAGATGACTAAACTCTGATTTCTGCTCCTGGACTGATCATAGGAACTGCCCAGCTGAGTACAGCCAAAACACAGAGTCAGAACTGCAAATCAAATGGCTATTTGTTAAGCCATTGTGTTTCTGATTTGTCCTACATCAAATGCTGATATATATCAGTAAGTATGGCAAAAGTGAATTACATGCAAACTACAATGCATACAACTTCAAAATTTCATTTCGAAGTTCCCATAAAACAGGGCCAGCATTGTCACATAGCAAGTAAACCTGCCGTCTGCAATACAAGCACCCCATATGAGCACTGGTTCATGTTCTGGCTCTTCTGCTTTGATCTAGCTTCCTGCTGATGGCCTGAGAAAAGCAATGGAAGATGATCCAAAACTTGGGCAAATGCTACCAATGTGGGAGATCCAGGTGAAGATCTTGG